GCAAGCTACAGCCCCCAGTCTAACTACCAACCAGTCCAACCTCGTTCGCTATCTCTGCTACTCAGCGATATATTTACACATATTCATGAGGTATAACAGTATAAGTGTGTCCTTTATAACTGAGAAACGATAAAGCTGAAGACGTACAACACCCTGCATAATGAATTAAATCTCACAATATTATTTCTTACGCTATTTTCACTAGAATTATAACAAAATGCCTGTCTGTAATGTGTGCCGTAGGAGCTCCAAGCATGCAGTAACTGATTTTACTTATAATTTGCAATACTATATGTTCAAATGAAACTGTTACTGGGATGCCAACAATAATTATTCAACATTATTCAGAACAAAAATGGATGCACAATTGCTTTCGGCAATTCGTGACAAATTGCCAGAATTTGCTTCAACAAACATGCATATGTCTCAAATAATCTGTCTTTAATTGGATATTAAAACATACTATAGTTTTCCCTTGCCAGCCCTTCAAGTCTTCAACTTTTCTTTCGGGCACCCTTATAGAGTGTACACAGACATGTATTGTTTAATTCCGGCTTATTATACAGGGTGTATAAAAAAAAACTGAACAAATTTGAAATTGCTCTCAATTTCGCAAAACACCTATTTGTATCTGTTTTTTTATATATATAGCTTCTTTGGGTACTTATAATGTAAAATATTGAAAAAAAATTCTCGATCTCAAATTTTGTGAACCAGGGGGGTGTGTCTTTTGCAACAAATTAAAAATGGCTCGCGCACAAAATTTAAAAGCTGTAATCATATTTTGAGTTAATAGATTGAAAATTTGTCGGGTTGTTAATTACTGTACAAAATTTCAGACAATTTGGTTTAGTTTAAGCCCTTTAACTATTCATTTTGTTCTAAAAAGTCGGCCTTTCGCATGCTTAATTAATGCCTTTACCTAATTTGCATATTGCTGACATATGCAAATTAGGCAAATGCATTAATTAAGCATGCAAATAGCTGATTTTTCGGGAAAATTGTAGCTTTGCGTGAATAGTAAGGGGCTTAAACTAAACCAAATTGTCTGAAATTTTGTACAGTAATTAAAATCCCGACAAATTTTCCATCTGTTATCTCAAAATATGATTGCAGCTTTTAAATTTTGTGCGCGAGCCATTTTTATTTTGTTGGAAAAGACACACCCCCCTGGTTCACAAAATTTAAGTTCGATAATTTTTTTTCATTATTTTACATTATAAGTACCCAAAGAAGCTATATATATAAAAAACCAGCTACAAATAGCTGTTTTGCGAAATTGAGAGCAATTTTAAATCTGTTCAGTTTTTTTTGATACACCCTGTATAGTAAATTGTATTTCTTTATGCTCCATGACTACGGAAAACCTATACTCTATAGTTTATAAATTACTTGGAAATCTCAGAAGGAGCAATTCGTGCATGTAGGCCTATTAATTAACAATATGTAGTAATACGTCTTAGTAAATCATATTCTAATATCGCTTATGTAATAATTGTATATACGATAAACACCGAGAAGGAGGGATTTATGTGAGTAATGACACGCAGCGTCCGATCCGAGGGCATTAGAGAGGTTAAGATACCCCGGTTTCGGTGTACGGGTACGAGTAGCATGATTTTGGTTAGCAATATTTTCATCAATGTCTGTGCCTTTACACGTAATTAAGATGCACATTTTTCACATTATATCATTGTCTATTGCAAGAAAACAGATAAAGTATGATCGAATTAAAGACATCAGTAAAACAAGATGACACTACTCGTACCCGTACACCGAAACCGGGTTATCTTAACCTCTCTATTATCTGACATAAATCCCGACTTTCGAGGTGCTTATCATATTTATATTATTGATGTACTGAGGAGGTTTTCCATCAAAGTTTTGTCTGTTTCATCTGCTTTGAACTACAATTTTCTGAGTTTTCCTTCACCTTTTCAGCTAATTAATATTCAAGATGATTATTAAAAATAATCACCTTGGTACATGAAAGAAACCCAACTCAACCAAGAATTAATCCAATTATATAAGCTATATACGTAAGTCTATTCCTTGAATACAATTGCAAGAGCGGTTATAACAGGCTGATTTAACAGCTTTCGTCCAAATGTATACAAAGCGAAGATCAATTGTAATTTTTTTAACAAACACGTTCAAAATTCGAAACAGGCCTTTCAAGACTGCATAAGCAGGAAATTATTTCCATTACTCATTAGAAAGCGTTAGTACGTATCAATCTTAATCTTTGAACATGTTATATAAGTGCTAATCACCTCAACAAATACAACTTAAATCATACACACACTTAATTAACTGTCCTTTCAGTCGTTCAGTTATTTCATAAGCAACATTTAAATGGTCTGACTATTCCGTGGGATTAGTACTATGTATGAAACTGCAATGATGTCGTTAGTCGGAAATGAACGGTGAGAGGTCGTATTTTTGAGAGCAGTTTTTCTTGCGGTCGCTTGCGGTTTCTATCGGTCAACATCAAACAAACTGCAATAAAACAGTAACCTAACCTTATTCCGCAATCTTTGACAAAAAACTATGGGACGGGTGCGTAATTTCGCATTATTAGAAAGGCGTAGCGCCCTCGTTCCCCCAGTTCAGAATTGGGCCGAAAAAATCTTGATGTCAGGTTGCAAGACGCCAACATTGACGGGGGCCGGGGGGGGGGGAGGATGGATGGTGGAAAAAAAGAATCAAAATGGAAAAAATGGTATGCTACAACCAAATGGATGTGAAAACTAGATTGTCCCAACCTATATTGTCAAAGATCGTAGCTACCACAACGTAATCTTAATTTACGAAAAAAATTCGAATATTAGGAGCACTGGGATTAAATTTGGTAACAAAAACACAGGAATTGCGACGATCTTTACATCTACTGGTACGTACTTCCTCACGAGTCATAGCCATGCAACCACCTCAAAGGTTGATCTATCCTGAACTGAGATGTTGAGATATAAAGGATCTATCCTGAACTGAGATTTTGGTTTAGATTTCGAGATGATACTATTGTGTTGTGGTGCGATAGCATGGAACGGCTTCAAGCGTTTTTTAAGATCTTAACACATTTGACAATCATCTACAGTTTACTATAGGCGTGGGTGGGCGCAGTTTGCATTTTCTCGATCTTTTGATTTCCATAGTTAACAAGACGCCTGCTCAGGCATTCACACTGACCTGAAAATGACGACATACGTGTTATGGTGCAGTAGACAAGACAAGACAAGACAGCAAGCAAATTGTATGGATTTTTTAAAACAATAAAAACCTTTTTAGGAGACCTATGGTGCAAATCTTTAACTAGGAGTTACTATCACAAGGAAAGTGCTGCCTTTCTTCCGCATGAACTTAATGCAAAAGTTTGTATTGCCTCATTTCCACGTTTTATCATTGGTAGAAAGGCCTATGTTTCCCGCAAAAATTTGTTTCTCGTTCATCATTTAAGCGCAATCACAAGCTTATTCTTAAATTGTGTGCACGGAATACGAGTAAATAATCATACAACATGAAAATGAGGCCATTGGGTCAAAAGTGGTATTAAGGTCTACTAGCCTACTAGTAATTAGCTGGCAATGCACACTACTTTCAGTAATAACTCTGACTAACGCCAGCCAAATTTACACCGTGTACCGCCAGACAATTTTACTTGTCAGTGGTAGAGTACTGTCAGTAAATGGTTTAACAGACAATTCTGCCAATGTCTTTTATTAACCTATTAGCTGGCAATGCACCCTACTTTAGTATTTACTGTCTATCTACTTTAGTATTTACTGTATAGACAATTGCACTGCCAGTAAAGTACTGCCTGTATATGGGTTAATTTCGCGTCACGCCCCAATTCCAAATTTCACATTTTTACGATTTTTATTGTTTCTAATTAATTGTAAATATCTCAGCGAGCATTTACCCCCCTCACTTGAATACAAGACGTATTTTATTCACATTGACTCTGAACAAATTCTGAAGAGTTTAGAAGGTATTCAAGTTTTTTTCTCGATATGAAATACAGAATGTTTGGCTAAGGCCACTCCAAATGAGACTTTAGCTTCCCGTCCTCCGCCCGTGTCTCGTAGAACTGGCCGCATGCATGATTTGTTCATTATTGCTAACTTGTTTCCATTATTTGACTTTCATGACTAAGAATAACGAAAATCCATAGTTTTCGAAAAATCTATCGTTCAAGAAATACATATTTATCGTATAATACGTAAAATTCGAAACAAAATTGTTGAAACTTTTTTTTGAAAGATCGTGAATTGTTGTTTTTGTTTGCTTTTACTACAGTAACCGACTAACCGCTGAGCTAGACACTTCCGTTACACGTTTTGATTTTCGAACGTAATAAAAGGATAAGCTTAATTAATATCCTGGCATTTATTCCTGCATACAAAAAAACCAAAACAGTCCGTAGCAATGTGGCTGAATGGATATTTAAAATGTGTATCTATTTCATGGAATGAGTAAATATATGATTGTTTTGGTTTGTGTAATGTTTTGACGGTTTTGACCGCGCTAAAAATATAAATATTCTGTAAATACCGAAATAAAAGACGAAAATCAGACACTAGCTTGAAAATAACACTATAAATACTGTTTTGGATTCTGGTTCCAATAATACTATTACGAAAAAGATATATCCAAAGGGGCCGAAATTTACATGTTCGACGAAATGTATATGTCTAGTTTACATTGTTCCTTATATTATGAAATATGATACTATACCTTAGTTGTATTAAAATTCGCGTCGAATTAATGTTATTGTATTAAGCAAATGAGAACCATACAATAAATGTTTTAGTCCTTGTTGGTATTTTGAACGCACGCTTTATCTTTACTGTAGCGCTAGCTACCAAGCGCGGATTATATTTCGCGCGGTACTAAAATTTGCGCACTCCGCGCTACACGAATTCTAGTACTGCGCGAATTTTAATACATGTATTAAGATATATTGTCGACATTGGGCTAAAACTATCGTAAGGATTAAGAGATTTTGTTTAATTAAAACTACGTTGTGTAGTCAAACTGTCAACCTTTAACTTGTCCTTGTTTATATTTCACTATATATTGTATAAATTCGCTGGGTCCAAATTTTGGGGTTTTCGAGTCGTTTAATACAAAAAAAAACACATTGATTCAACACGCAAGAAAGTCCAGAGTGCGACACAAAAATGAACACAAGTACACAACGGATGTTTATGAGTCTACAACGTATATTTATAGTTTTTTATTAAAGTCAATCTGTCAAATCATTAACTTGTCCTTGTTAATTGTATTCCACTGTATTGTATATTCCACTATATTGTATATTAAAATTCGCTGGGTCCACATTTTGGGGTTTTCCAGTCGTTACACAAAGAAAAACACATTAATTCAACACGCAAAAAAGTCCAGAGTGCGACGTAACGTAAAATCCATAGGAAACCGGCACAACTCTTTGAAAATTCGACGAAACTGTGTGAGATATATTTTGATCACTCAGCCAAAAGCCGCCATTTTGAAACTGGACCGAATATGAATTCACGGCTTCATTAACCAAACTGAGGGTAAAAATTTGACTTCAGCTTTAGCGCACCAAAACGTTGTTACTCAAAAACTATCTAAAGAATTAGTCGCTGGCAGAATCGCTGGACCTTTTCATGCCATGCCATTTCATCCGTTCCGAGTTTCCTCCTTGGGTCTTGTGCCTAAAACGTCTCCTGGTGAATTTCGATTGATCCATCATTTATCTTCCCCACGAGGATCTTCGGTCAATGATGGCATTGGTTCTGAGGATACTTGTGTGCATTATGCCACCGTGGCTGATGCAATACGTTTAATCAAATCCAACGGGAAGGGCTGTTTTCTTGCGAAAACAGACATTAATAATGCGATCCGTATTATTCCTATTCGACCAGAGGACCACTATTTACTGGGTATGAAATGGCGGGGCATGTATTATTACGATCGATGCCTTCAGGCTATGGGGGCAGCCAGCTCGTGTAAAACATGTGAAATTTTAGTACGGCTATACAGTGGATTGCTCAACAAAAACATCTCATCGATTCTATTTTACATTTACTTGATGATTTTCTCCTTATATCACCATCTTATGACACCTGTGCAGTTCGGTTAAAACGTTTTCTCGATTTTTGCGCTTTTATTGGATTGCCCATGGCACCGGAAAAACGTGTGGTCCTTCAACCACGCTTTGTTTTGCAGATATTGAGTTAGACACGGTCAG